AGAGAGAGAGAGAATTTTTTAATATTTATTTTTCAGTTTTCGGTGGACACAACATCTTTATTTTATTTTATGTGGTGCTGAGGATCAAACCCAGTGCACCCATGCCAGGTGAGCACGTTACCGCTTGAGCCACATCCCCAGTCCCCCACTGGGAGATTTTTTTTTTATGTATGATTTCTACTTTATTTTTTTTAAAGAGAGAGAGAGAATTTTTAACATTTATTTTTTAGTTTTCAGCAGACACAACATCTTTGTTTGTATGAGCCACATCCCCAGCCCTCCAGCCACATCCCCAGCCCGAGACTTTTTAATAGCAAAATTTTAATCCCCCTTTCTGGCCCCCAATTTTGCTGAGTAAGCAATGATCGTAACTAAACAATATTTCCCAGTTTACAGCATATGAAAAGTCTATGACATAGTTCTAGGCAAAGAAGTGTAAAATCAACAGTTTCCTGCAAAGTCCCCCAGAAGGGGCCACCCTCAGCTAGACCTGCACCTTTGTCCTTCTCTGGTCCTCTCCTAGGCTGGAGGTAGAGCATACACCTTCCAACCTGAGGACTGAGAATGGAGGCACAGAACCTGGCCCCTACAGACTTCACGGGGCCTTCACGACGCCTGGACTTCTTTCACCTTAATGGGGGAAACGCTCACAGGAATTTGACCCATCGATTGGGAATTTTTCTTTTTTATTTACAGGGAGGTGGTTACTCATTGCCACGTGTAATTTCTAATTGATACACAGAGAACATTGTCTGTTAAATTGTTCACTTCCTAGGTTCATTATGTAATTTTTATTTTTGAAAAATCACCATTTCTTCTAGGTTTTTAAACTCATTGTCACAGAGTTGCTCTATGAAAAATCAAATTATTTCACTCTTTTCTATGTTGGAATCTTGTTTTCTTCTTAATTCTGTATGCTTTTACTTTCTCCCTTTTGTCACAGGAACGTGAGCAGCTGAAGCTCCAAACCTGAGTTCTTGTGTCAGATGAAAAAAACTTTAGTCAGACACCAGAATGCAAGTCATGCAAGACAACTTTATTGTAAGTGGAAGGAAAGTGAGGCTCAAGCAGAAAACAGAGAGGCAGAGAGAGAGAGAGAGAGAGAGAGAGAGAGAGAGAGAGAGAGAGAGAGATATGTCTCTCAGCAGAAAACCACAGAGGAAACAGTACCGTCTCCAAGTTCATCACTGTCTGATATTTGCCCTGAAGACGAAGGACCACATTATGCTCTCTCCTACAACTGGCTCAAGCCCTCCTTCATGTCCAGTAGTGAAGTTTTTGACCCCAGTTGGTCCTCCTCTACAAGTCAACCCTATGTTAACTGGGGCACTGGGATCAGTGGCCAGACAGAATTTACCTTAATCCAGATGCACAACTAAAGAAACCTCCTTCCAAAATATATGGAGGCACCCATGGCTTTGCCCTGTCCTGGGAGGGCCATCAAGAGCTAGTCCCAGGCTCACCGTCGTGTCTATCGACTTACCCGTCTTCTTTTCACAAATATCTATTCTGTTTATTGATCCTTTCTACTATATTGTGTTCATTCCTGTTTCACTCCTTTAGTTAACTCCTCTTTTTTGTTTGTAAAATAAGTTCAAAATTTCTTTAAATTTTTCATTAATGATGAGGTTATTTGAAAACTATAATTTTTCCTCTAAATATAGCTTTAGCTATGGGCTAGGGTTATGGCTCAGTGGTAGAGCACTTCCCTAGCACATATGAAGCACTGGGTTTGATCCTCAGCCATAAGGATCACCACATAAAAATAAATAAATAAAATAAAAGTAAATGCAGCTTTAGCTGTATCCAAGAGGAATAGGGTATGAAGAAAGTCAGGGTTATTTATATAGTTTGTTAATTTAACCCAGGGGTGCTTTAACACTGAGCTACATCCCCAGCCCTTCTTTAAAATTTTACAATAGAGTCTCACCTGATTGGTGAGGCTGGCCTGGAACTTGCCAGGCCCGGGCTCAGCCTCCTGAGTCGCTGGGATTACAGGCATATACTTTGTTACTTCTGACCTAGTATCTTTTTGATCCAGAGGTTTTAAAATGGGGACCTATTAATTTCAATTGCTTACACTTGTGTCCCTCCACCTTTTTCATATATTTTTTTACATTTGATTGTTTGCTGAGAGAGAATTGGATTGGATTGTGATCAAGTCATGTGTCCTATTGTACTTTCATTCAATTTGTACGATTATTTTCAGGTCCAATGCATGATTATTCCACAGACTTAAATAGGGGCAAAGTTCTCTACGCATAAACTGAGCTTCCTATGTGAATTCTTTCTTTATTCACACACTTGCTTTTTTTCTTAGTATATTTTTAGTTGTAGTTGAGATCTTTATTTTATTTACTTATTTCTATGTGGTCCTGACGATGGAACCCAGGGCCTCCACCCGCGAGAAGCGAGCGCTGTACCACTGAGCCACAACCCCAGCGCTCCCACACCTGCTTTTGGTCTGCAAATTTGCCTCATTCTGGAATGGCGGACTAAAACTTGGAAAAGGGTGAGGCCAGCTTCTGGGCTGAGTCAAGGACCCCCACCCCCACCCGCCAGCGCCGCAGGCCCCAGCAGAGGCCTGAGGAGTCCTGCCAGGGCCGGGTGGAGCAGGGTGCTGGGGGCGGAGGGGGTAGCAGTCTGGTTGCCAGGAAGCAAGGTGGGGACACAATGGGGCCTGGCAGTTGGGCGGGGGTGGGAGTTAGGGTGTCCAGCTCTCTCGCTTTGCCTTCCCAAGCCGGGAGCCAGCACAGCAGGTCAGTGCATCTCGAGGCCTTCGCTCCTAGAACTGGTTCCTCTCCCCAGAACCTTCCCAAAGCCCTAAAATCTTCCGCCCCCGCCCGCCCAAGAATTGGGAATTCCCTTCCCGAGGTCGGGGTCTGAGCCGGGCCTGCGCGCGCACCCCCCTACAGAAACCCGTCTGCAGGTCGGCGGCCGGAGATGGCCCTGAAGGTGGCTCGCGGCCCCAGGCCCCGCCACGGGGCCGGGACACCACTGTTTGTTTTCCGGGCGCCCGGGATACGGGGTGGGCCCCGCCCCCTGGGCTGCTCCGCCGCGGGGCCGGGTCGCGGGTTCCCCACGAATTCGAGGTGGAGGGGCCGCGGCCGCCACCGTCTGTCCACAGGTGCAGCCGGCTGTAGGCGCCCCCGCTCGCGTCATGGGCTCGGACTGCTGGGTGGGCCCTTGGCGGCCACACCGGCCCCGAGGCCCCATCGCGGCGCTCTATAGAGGACCCGGGCCCAAATACAAGCTGCCGCCGAACACCGGTAGCAGGGGCCGGCGCCGGGGAGGGCGAGGGGAGTCCGGGCGGGTTTGCGTCTGGGCTGCGGTGGTAGTACCCACCCGGAGCACCGGGGCAGAGTCGGTGCAGGGGATGGTGGGCCGTGCTGGGAGAGGGCGGGGGGCGGCCCGGTTGATGCTGGGACGTTCCGCAGGCTACATCCTGCACGACCCCTCGCGGCCCCGCGCCCCCGCCTACACCTTCGGTGCGCGCTTCCCCACGCAGCAGTCAACCTGCGGCCCCGGGCCCAGCCACCTGGTGCCCTCCCGCATGACCGTGCGCGGCCCGGACAGCGCCCCCGCCTACTCCATCTGTGGCCGCCTGCGGCACTCTGCGCCCTTCCGCACTCCCGGACCGGGTCAGGACCCCTGGGACCCTGGTCTCCCCAACGCCTCCGGGGAGGCGCACCTGGGAACCTCCCCACCTGAACCCCGAGACCCCCTCTAGACCCTAACATCGTATACTCCGGATCTCAAAATCCAGAACCCCAAGCCCCACAAGGCTGTGACAAATTGTGGTTCCGATTCCCCAATTCCAAGACCCTTACCCGGCTCCATCAGGCCCCTACCCAGTTCTGGCCCACACCTTGGTCTGTCCCCCAGGGAGGTATTTCCCAGAACGAGCCGGGAATGCGACGTACCCCAGTGCGCCTCGACATACCATTGCTTCCCGAAACTGGGGGGTCCACGCGGAGCCGCAGAGTCCAGGTGAGACCTGAACGGCCCCGCCCCGCCCCGGGACCGCCCGCACGCGCGCAGACCGCAGTGACCGACCCCTGGCGGCTCCTTCAGGTCCCGGCGCCTACACGGTGCCCTCGCTCTTGGGCCCGCGCGTCATCGGCAAAGTCTCGGCCCCAACTTACTCCATCTACGGCCGCACCAGAGTGGGCAGCTGCTTTGAAGACCTCAGCAAGGTGCGAGGAGGGCCGCCGGCCCAGCGCAGCGAGAGGTCCAGAGGGTCAGAGGTGCGCGGGGAACCCAGCGTTCACTTTGCCTCCCACAGACGCCGGGCCCCTGCGCCTACCACGTGGTGAACCCCGGGGTCTACAAGACCCGGGCCCCCCAGTTCACGATGCTGGCACGGACTTCGTTCCCCCAAGACAGCACCCTGAAGCCCGGACCCGCAGCCTACAACGTGGACCAGGTGGTCTGGAGTTCAGGGTCAAGGGTCAGAGGCAAGGGATGAGGATCCCCAGTCGAGGGTATGGGTCAGGGTTCAGAGAGAACAAGGCTCCCCGCGCGAAGCCGTACGCCCCCGGCTCCGCGAGGTCAGCGACGTCTTCTGGCCCGCAGCACCGGAAGCCTCGCGGCTGGACCTTCGGGATCAGGCATTCGGACTACCTGGCCCCAATGGTGACCAACGTGGACGACTGACCCGCGGGCGGGGTGGGGGCACAGGCCCACCGCAGAGCGCTTAAAGCTTCCGGAATCAGCCACCTGTCCGCCTCTCTCTTTGTGCACGGGCGGGGTCAGGGCGGGAGCGTCGAAGTCTGTTGGAGAGCTGGAGAGGGGTGTGCCCGCCGCACAGTGCCGGGGAACTGGGCGGAGCCCGACAGAAACCGGGCGGGGCCCACTCCCGAGGCTCCTGGAAGCCCGGCATTTGTCAGGCAATTCGCGGACTGGCCGCAGGCTGCGAGCAAGGCTACTGGCCAGATCCTACCAGCTGTGCCTGCGGTCCTTGGGCCGTTCTGGGTGATTGCCGACCTGCCCCTGCTGGTGGCCAGTGGCTAGGTGTGCACGGCACCTGCAGTCTCGACCCGGTGGCCAAGGGTGACGAGGGGTGGAACCCGACCAGACTCCGGAACAGGACGGGCGAGGGCCGCAGTACGGAATAGGTATGGGCCAGGGTCACGTTGTGAGAGCGGAAAGTGGAAGCCAGACATCGAAGGAGCGACACAGTCATGGAACCCAAGGGTGGACACCAGAGACATACAGGAGCCGAGTCGGGTCGAGGGCAGGGGGTCGCAGGGACATGGATGGAGGGGTGGGGAGGGAGGGCGTTGGCCTGGGCGATATAAGTGTCTGGCTTCCCCGCAGGCCCAGAGCAATGGCAGCCCCAGGAACTCCAGCCCCACCAACCCCAATCGCACCAGGTGATGGTTTGCTGGGAGGACGGGGGGGACTTCCTGACTCAATGCCTGGGGCCAAGCAGCTCCCAGTGCTGATCCGCAGGAAGCGAGATGGAGGCCGCTTAAGTGAGGAGGACATCAAGGGCTTCATCAGTGCTGTGGTGGAGGGGAGTGCACAGGGGACACAGATTGGTATGTCGGGAGAGCCAAACACCCCAATTCCCACTTAAACTCTGCCCCCCACAACCCCATAGACCACCTGTCCCTAGGGATGCCGCAGCACCCCATCACTGACCCCAAAATACGATTCTGTGGGGACATCCCCTCTTGTGTTCACATCCAGGGGCCATGCTGATGGCCATCCGGCTGCAAGGCATGGATCTGGAGGAGACCTCTGCGTTGACCCAGGCAATGGCCAGGTCTGGGGAACAGCTGCAGTGGCCAGAGGCCTGGCACCAGCAGCTTGTAGACAAACATTCCACAGGGGGAGTGGGAGACAAGGTCAGCCTGATCCTGGCACCTGCCCTGGCCGTGTGTGGCTGCAAGGTTAGAGACTACTTCCTCTCCAAAACCTTGACTCACTCAGCAATGGGGCCACCCTCACTTCCCAACCTCAACTCTGGTCTGAAGACAGAACCCAGGCTTGTCCCTGCCAGCCCTCAGTATGGAACTGGGGTCCGCCTTAAGCCACAGCAACAGAAAACAGCCCCTGCTTCCCTGTAGGGAGAGGGTCCTGAAAGAAAGAGCTAGGTACTACTTTCTCTCTGTGCCCAGACTCATCTCCAGGGATGGTTACCACCTTCTCCCTCACTGACATCTGTACTCCCCCTCCTGGCCAGGACAGTTATTTCCCATTTTCAGCTGGGTTAACTCCAGCTAAAGTCTATCTAGGGAAGGTGAGGAAACACTTTTGAGTGAGTGGTGAGGGGGACCGTGCAGGTGAACTCAGCCAACATCCTTGCCTGCCAGGTGCCAATGATCAGTGGACGTGGCCTGGGGCACACAGGGGGCACCCTGGACAAGCTGGAGTCTATTCCTGGGTTCAATGTCATCCAGAGCCCACAACAGGTACAGGCAGGCCACTGACTTTTTATCTGGATTGATGGAGATCTTAGCCATAACCATGGAAGGGTTATTTATCAGAGTCATTAATGGGAATACTGAGTATTCAAAGGTCACTGATAGTCATTGGGCATAGGTCAGGGTGGAGGGAACTTTGACCAGGATCATCACTGCCGACTTGGTCAAAACCACTGTTGGGGCCAGCATGGTGGCACATGCGGCTGGGGAGAGATAGGAGGATGGCTAGTTCAAAGCCAGCCTCAGCAAGAGTGAGGCACTAGCAACTCACTGAGACCCTGTCGCTAAATAAAATACAAAAGGCTGGGGATGTGGCTCAGTGGTCCAGTGCCTTGGTTTCAAAAAAAAAAAAAAATCACTGATGGACTACTAATTTACAGCTATACACTGATCATCTTTGTCAGGTCACAGAGCAGAGCCACTGCTGAGAATCTAGAGTCATCCATAGGTCACTGTCACTGAACAGGGCCAGTAGGATCCTTCATCAGAGGCCACTGGGGGGGGGTGTGTCTTGACTAGATGCAAGTGCTGTTGGAGCAAGTGGGCTGCTGTATTGTGGGTCAAAGCAAGGAGCTGGTTCCTGCAGATGGAATCCTGTATGCTGTACGAGATGTGACAGCCACTGTGGATAGCCTGCCACTCATCACAGGTGACCTGACTCAACTCCAGGGACAGCTCTCTGCCTATCGGGATTATGACCCCTATCTCTGACCTCACAGTCAAGGTCCTCTTATTAGGAGGACCTTAGTGAGAATACCTGACTACAGATTCATGAGGGTGACCTGATGCTTAACGCACTAGGCATTGCCACCCCATCCTAGGGGCCAGCCCCTCCTCACCCTAGAGTCAGCGTCACCTGGAGTGATATCTCTGCCTCCCCCAACAGCCTCCATTCTCAGTAAAAAGGTGGTGGAAGGGCTCTCTGCCCTGGTGATAGACGTTAAGTTTGGTGGCGCTGCAGTCTTCCCAGACCAGGAGAAAGCTCGGGAATTGGCAAGAGCACTGGTGAGCCCCTGCACATGCTGGGCCAGTGTAAACCCAAAGAAGCCCCTGCCCCCGTGGGCCCCAACTCCTTACACCCTCACTCGCCTCTGCCCACTCAGCAGTCCACCCCTCCCTCCTTCACCCGCCACTAGCCTTCACTGACCGAGGCTTAGTCTTACGCCTTTAGAAAATCTCCAGGTTGCCCCTCCACCCCACGCCAGACTCAAGATGCTCTGACACCCACAGCTGCGGATTGGCAAAGTACTTCTAGTCCCCACCCCAAGCCCTCTCCGACCTCGTTCTGAGGGTCTGGCCACCCAGGGTACTTCCGGAGCTGGAATTTGATGATGCAAGATTGGGGTGGAGGCCCCACGGGGTGCCAAGTAGAGTCCACACTGAGCCAAGGCTCTGCAGGTTGGCGTGGGGGCGGATCTGGGGCTTCGGGTGGCAGCAGCCCTGACAGCCATGGATAACCCTCTGGGTCGCAACGTGGGCCATACCCTGGAAGTGGAGGAAGCGCTGCTCTGCCTGGATGGCACGGGGCCACCGGACCTGCGGGACCTGGTCACTAGACTCGGTAAGGGAAGCAGTTGAGGTTGGGGACTGCAGAGCCGCCCTATCGGACGCCCAGGCCCTACGGCACCTAAAACTCGCCCTACCGACTGGCAGGGGGTGTCCTGTTATGGCTCAGTGGACATGCGGGTAGCTCGGCCCAGGGCACCGCCCGGATCGCTACGGCACTGGACGACGGCTCCGCGCGGCGCCGCTTCGAGCAGATGCTTGTAGCACAGGGCGTGGACTCGAACCTGGCCCGATCACTGTGCTCCGGGACCCCGGCGCAGCGTCGTCAGTTGCTGCCCCATGCCCGGGAGCAAGAGGAGTTACACGCGCCTGCGGACGGTGAGCACCAGGGACTCGGACCCCCAACTCGCTCCCAACCCGGGACCCTCCTGAGGCTGCCAGACGCTTTCACTCTCTTCCCGCAGGCACCGTGGAGAGCGTCCAAGCGCTGCCACTAGCGCTCGTGCTGCACGAGCTCGGGGCAGGACGCAGCCGTGCAGGGGAGCCAATCCGCCTGGGCGTGGGCGCCGAGCTGTTGGTGGACGTGGGTCAAAGCCTGAGCCGAGGTGAGTACCACCTGGGACTCCAGGCCACGTCGTCTTCCCCGCCCCTTCCGGGTGCGTCCTCCCGCCCCGGAAGTCCTGACCGTCCTCGCCTGGCAGGGACGCCCTGGCTCCGCGTGCATCTGGACGGCCCTGCGCTGAGCGATTCGCAGCGCCGAGCACTGCAGGCAGCGCTTGTGCTGTCAGATCGCGCGCCCTTCACGGCCCCCTCGCCCTTTGCGGAGCTGATCCTGCCGCCCACCGCCGCGCAGCCTTGAAGCCCGACGGCCTCCGAGCCAAGTACGTGCAGTGTCGGGGCGGAGCGGGCCGCACGTGACCTCGAAGCACGCGCCGTGGTGGCGAGCCGGGACGGCGCTGCTTCCGGGGTTGGTGCCCAGGGCGCGGTGCGGGCATCGGAGTAGTGGGGGTCCCGGCTGTACTGGCGCTGTTTTTCCAGGGCTTCCAGGGCTTCTCGGCCGCCTTCCCGAGGGGCCGAACCTGGGGACACTAGGACCGAGGTGGCCCCAGGCACCGTCTCATGTCCTTGGGGATTTCCTGGAGGGCAAGCTCCGTGCTCTATCCCTGTAGCCACCCGTTTGGGTATGGGGGCCCAACCTTCGCCAGGCAAGGACTATAGGGGTAGCAGGGAGGTGCGTGTGGGACCTCCAGAAGAGCGCATACGTCGTCTGCCAGCTGAGGTTAAGTCCAGCAGTGCAGGTTTTCTGCTGAGCCTGGGAGGAGACCGGAGAGCCACCGTTGAAGTAGCCCTTGAAGTGACCGGCTGGAGAGGGCTACTTCCGTCAAGAAGTAGATTTATTGCAGATATATTTGCTTGCAGTGCCCTTGTTAAGCAGGACAAGAGGCTCACAGAAGTGAATGCTGGGCTGGGCTGGGCTTTGCAGGTGCAGGTACAGGGCAGGGTGAGGTAACAAGATCCAGGCTACTAGGCTGAAGGGACAGGAGGGACTGTTGTGAAACTGGCCATATGTGGACTTTGGTGCCACTTAAGCTGGAGCTTGAAGTTTCAAAGGTGGACAAGTTTGGAGCTTCAGCGAGCAGGTGCAGGAGGCTGGCAAGCCAGAGTAGGAGGCAGGTCTCCAGGGATGGGGCCCCAGGCACCTTTTGGTACCCTCTTTCTGGGGCCTGACATCTTTGCTTTCTTTCAGGAGGATCAGGTCCATGCTGTTGCTGGCTCGGGGGCCCAAGGCCAAGGCTTGGCTTTGGCTTTGTCAGCTTAGGCCACCAGTACCGCCTATGACCCCTGGAAATGAAGCCCTGCACATGAGGCCCCGGCGGCACTTCTCGTGGCAGGGCCCACCTCAAGGCCCTAGGCTTCGAACCAGGCTGCTCATCACTGCCCTATTTGGGGCTGGGCTGGGTGGGGCCTGGCTGGCTGCCAGGGCTGAGAAGGAACAGCGGCGGCAGCAACAGCGGACAGAAGCCCTGCGCCAGGCTGCTGTGGGTCAGGGCGACTTCAGCCTATTGGACCACCAAGGCCTGACTCGCTGCAAGGCCGACTTCCGGGGCCAGTGGGTACTGATGTACTTTGGCTTCACACACTGCCCAGACATCTGCCCAGATGAGCTGGAGAAGCTGGTACAGGTGGTACAACAGCTGGAAGCCAAGCCTGGACTGCCCCCTGTGCAGCCCATCTTCATTACTGTGGACCCTGAGCGGGATGATGTGGCAGCTATGGCCCGATATGTGCGAGAATTCCACCCAAGACTGCTAGGTCTAACGGGTTCTGTTGAGCAGGTGGCCCAGGCTAGCCGCAGCTACCGTGTGTACTACAGTGCTGGCCCCAAGGATGAGGACCAGGACTACATTGTTGACCACTCCATTGCTATCTACTTGCTAAACCCCGATGGCCTCTTCACAGACTACTATGGTAGGGGCAGGTCCGCTGAGCAGATTGCAGACAGTGTGCAGCAGCACATGGCTGCCTTCCGCAGTGTCCTCTGAACCACTGCAGCCTGGGCCCATCATTAAACCACACTTCTAAGTTGTGTGTGTGTGATCTGTGCCAGCAGTCCACAGGAAGCCAGGAGTACAGAAGCCAGGCAGCTCTACAGACTAGATAATTTCAGTGGGTTTTGTTTTAAGGGTAGGTGAGATGGCAACACAACTTTTATTAGGCTGGGCCAGCCAGGAGGCAGAAGCAAGCTCTCAGCACACAGGGAGAATTGGCCCACCCTCCCATCACAGCTTCTGCTTAGGGCTGGGCCATGGAGGGAGCTGTGTAGGTCTGGAAGCGCTTGTGGGCTCGCTGGTGAGTAAGCAGTCTCAGAGACATGGTGTCCACAGCTGCTTCCAGCCCTGGCTGTTGGCTGATCTCCACTGTGTAGTCATTGGCCTGCAGGGGCAAGCCATCAGCAAGGTTTGGGGACCATCTTCCCCACCCATGAGACCCGAGGCACTCACCAGCTGCAGGGAGGCCAGCATGGAGCGACACACCTCAAAGGCAGGTTGGCCTGCCACCAGCTCTGCAAAGGGACACCACTCGTTGAGCTGGGGGAATCGTGAGATCACCTGGTCCCCGTACGTGTGGATATCAAAGGGCACGTGCTGCTCCTGCATGGGGGAGGGGCGTGTTGGTGACAGAGAAGGACAAAGCGTGGGCAGAGCTCAGGCAGGAAGCTCCAGTCCTCAAGAACTGCCTCACCTGCTCCAGGAGCAGGGGTTGGATGGTGTCTTCCCAGTCCCTGATGCGCTGGCTCAGCTCTGTCTCCTGGACAAACTTCTGGGAGTTGGCGATGAAGAGCTCCTGGGGGGACCGTAGGGACTTCCATCTTGTGTGCAGGGACCTGAGGCTTCCTCACCCGACTCCCTGCCTCTGACCCAAGCCTACCACATTCCTTCGAACCAGCTCCTCGTAGCTCAGGGACTCTGGCATGGCCTCTGCCTCTGAGAAGGGCCGTCTGTGAGTTGCTGCAGCTGTGGTGCTGCCATGCCCTCCCCTCCAACAGCTCCCATTCCCTCAGACATACCCAGGTCAGCAGCCTCCCCAGGCTTTGCCTCCTCGGGCTCCACATACTCTTCAGGTTCCAGAAAGTCGTCTGCTGGGACACAGGAGAGACAACCACAGGCAGGAAGTCAGCTGGTTCTACTGATGAGCCCCACCCCAGAGCCAGCAAGCACCCACCTGTTGCCCCCAGGTCTTCCAAGGACTCCTCCAGGCGGTCATCCTCTGCAGGCCACAGGCCCTCTTCAGCCCTAGGCAGCCACCGCTCAGTTATCTGTTCAGAGAGAGCATCTGTGAGGGCACTGTCCTCTTCCATCAAGGGCCCCCTCAGCCACACAAGTACTCGCCTCCCGCCTCTGCAATGTCCGGAGGGTCTCCAGCTGCTCCTTCACATGCTTCCAGTACAGAACCTCCATGTCTGCAGACAAAAGCTTTGTGAGGGGCTCCCCTGTCCTGTCCAGGCTCATTCCAGACCACCCAGGGTCTTGGGTGACCCTGGTCAGGTAGAAGGCAAAGTAAGGTTGCACATGGGGCCTTGCCTCACCTGCAAAAGTTGGGCCTTTTCTCCGGGGCCTCCTGCTGTCAGCGTGGTCAGCATCTGTGAGGAAACTTGGTCAGCAAGAACCAGGCCAAGGCCTGGACCTCCCCATCAGCTAGGGACTGCCAACAGCATTAGGAAAAGATTGCTGGTCCTCCTTTCTCCAGCAGCCCTGACCTGGCCCCAGCACCCAGGGGCAAGGTGTCCCACCCAGCCCACCATGTACTCACAGGTGGCCAGGTACCACTGGTGGAAGTCCTGTAGCTTGGCAGTGGCTTTCCTCTTGCGCTTCTGTCCTGGAGCCTCTTCCACACAAGGGGGCACAGAGTACGGCCTGCCTGGGGTCAGGCTGGGGCTGTCTCAAGAGCAGACATGGGACTGGGGTCCAAAGCCCACCCCCACCCTACTACCCCAGACCCCAGCATGCTGGGGAAAAAGAGCCTGAGTGGAGGTGTCCCCCACCCAGTTACCTTTCTTAAAGGGCTTGGAGTCCAAGGAGTCAAAGGGGTCTAGGCTCTGCCAAGGGTCTGGGGTCTCCTGAGCACAGAGCACAAGTAGATGCTGGGGGCGGTTAGGGCTGCACACCCTTCTTCCCAAGCCCAACACCAAGTGCATGACAGCCCAGGGAGAGGCTGCCCGCTCAACCCAGGGTCAGTATGACACCTGAGGCAGGGGAAGGGGGTCCAGCCTGCGGGAGGGGGGATGTCAATTCCTGGAGGCAAGCCAATTCCTCAAGAGGAAAGCCAGGAAGGGAGGGAATTGAAGGGCCACGGGAGCAGAGGTGTGACAGGGAGTCCTGAGCTCACTCCCTGCCCCTCACCTTTAGCCGGGACATGGGGTCCGGGGCTCGCTCCCGCAACATGTACCTCCTGGTCAGGACAGCACTCTGCAAAGAAGGAGCACAGGTGCCCTGACTTGCACCTGTCCATACAAGATGCTGGATGCCCCAGCAGCTCTGCCCTGGGGTCCATGCCAAGAACTCTGCAGGGACCCTCTTCGGGTCCCATTGTTCAAGGACTAAAAACAACCCTAAGAAAAACTCCAGAACATCCCAACTAGCCATCACAGAAGAACTTTTCTTTTTTCAAAATATAAAACTAAATATGGAATATGACAAACATCCATGTTAACATTCCCTCCCATCTATGTCGGGTTGGTTTAAGCTTATTATTATTATTTTTTTAGTTGTAGATGGACAAAAGCTTTATTTTATTCAGTTATTTTTATGTGGTGCTGAAGATTGAACCCAGTGCCTCATCCGTGCGAGGAAAGCGCTCTGCCACTGAGCCACAATCCCAGCCCCTGGTTTGAGCTTTTGACTGCTGGACTGATTTGTGATGCTGGGGACTAAACCCAGGGCCCCAGGGATGCTAAGCAAGTGCTTTCCTGGAGCCACACAGCACACTGTTTTTTGGGTTTTTTGTTGTTGTTGTTTTAATTTAGAGATAAAAAGAAAAGAAATCCTTCTTTAGAAGGGGACAGATTCACGCCACGGGAATTGAGGGAGGCAGCAGAGGCCTCTGGAACCATTCCCTCTGGCCAGCCTGACCTCAGGTACTGTGAGCTCCATGGGGTCCAGGCCACTGACTAGCAGCCCACCCCGAGGAGCAGCAGCTGCTCCACTCAAGGAGAAGGACACAGAAGCTGCCATGAAAAGGCTGGCTGCAGGGTGAGTCTAAGACAGGAAAGCTCCTAGGCAGAGCCCCCAACTGGCCAGATGTATGCAAAGCAGACAGCAGGGAAAGACCAAAAGACCAATATGGGAACCACCACATTGTGCTGTGCTCCCTGTGTGAGGGTCACTGCCCCAGGGGCCCTACCTGGTGGGGGCTCCTGGGCTCCTCAGGCTCCACCGTGGCCTTGGGGGCTCTGGCCTCTGGGAGTTCTACTGCGTCAACCACCACCGCCGCCGCCTCCGCCACCTCCTCCTCCTCCTCCTCCTCCTCACCTCCACTGCTGGGCGCTAGGCCTTCTGGAGCGGTGCCTGGGCAGGCAGCAAGAAATCTGTCAGCCCCAGGGGATCCTGGAGCCCAGAGAGCAGACAGGGCTGCCCTTGGTGGAAGCCCAGGTAAACCTAACAGGACACTCCCTCTGCTCAGCGTCACTCCCTGCACATGGAGGATCCGGCAGGCCTTACACTCTGTCACACTAGTGTCTGTTTGGCTCTTTTCTTTTTTGTGGTTCTGGAGATTAAACCCAGGGTCAGGCTGGTTTTGAACTTAAAACCCTCCTGCCTCACTCCCCTGAGTAGCTGGGATTACAGGCATGGCCACCACACCCATCAGTTCATCTTCTTGGCAAACCTTCCTCTTTATGTGCTGCCACCTATGTCTGTCCAGTGAAGGCCAGGAAGGCAGTCCAAGGGCAGTTGCTGAGGCTCCATGAGGCTGGGGGCTCTCGAGCTCTCCAAGGCTGTGCCTGCTCCCCCTACACCTCACCCCTCACAAGCTGCTGAGCCAGGGACAGGCACGGCAAGCTGGGGAAGCTGAGAGCAGCCCATTTGGGGTCCTGTCCACATCCCTGCCTCCTTGGTCCCTTCCTCAGCCCTGCCAGTCCACCAAGGAGATCTACTCTCACCTGGCTGCTGGGAGAAGTCAAGCACAGTGACAGGATTCCGGCACCCAGAGACGTCCATTGGCTGCTCCTCGGTCCTCCTGGCATCTGGGAGGCAGGGGTTAGACAAAGGTCAGCACCCCCTATGTTCCACCTCATAAGGTCCCTACCTGATGCCCAATGAGCCCCTCTACAGGGGCAGCAGCAGGCAGAGCCCAGCAGGCCCCAGACCTCAGACTGGGGAGAGGAGTGGGTGTCATATCCCAGGACTGAAACTAGCTGGTCCCTCACTGGCTGGCCACTGAGGCACAGTGAAGGTGGGAGAAATGGATGAACTTCAGCCAAGCCACCCAGTGGAGCAGGAGCCTGGGAGGAGGCAGCTCCCAAGAACAGAACTGGTGGGCACAGGGGAACCAACAGGAGTCCCTGAAAGACCCTCTACTCCTTCCCTCCTACCAAGTACCCAACACCCAAGCCCTTACCCTTCTGGTTTCTTGGTATGGTGCACGTGCCCACAGGCTCTATGGGGCACATGCCCATTGGCTCTAGCATGAAGGCCCCTCTGGGGTGAGGGGTGCACGTGTTCATCCTGAAATCCTTCCGGCTGGCCAGGACCTCACCCTGGTGGCTGTGTTGGCAAAAATACACCCACTGAAGAGGCCCTTCTTGGGTAGGCCTCTCCCCCTCCCCAAGCTGGGCTCAGGCCCATACCTGTACAGAGGGCTGCTGTTCTTCTCCATTTCATCAGGGGCCACCAGGGCCATGGGCAAGAGAGGGACAATAAGTAGCTCCTGCATGAAGGCCAGCATCAGGTGTGGGCCCTGAATGCCTTGAGCTCTTAGGCAAGGACCCACACAGAGCATCCAGATAAACCCCCACCCAGAGAGCAAGGCACTCACACTGGGCACCTGGTCATTCTTCAGATCTACATTAGCACGGGAGTCAGGGAAGTCGTCCAGCGATAGGAACTGTAGAGACAGCAAGAGTGCATAGAGTGCAGCTCAGACGCCACAGGGCAGGGGTCACCAATCCCACTCACCTCATCCTCTGCCTCCTGGGGGGCCTCCAAGCTGGTGGTCCCATTGGCCCCATCTTCCTGCGCTGAGGACAGCTGCTTGGCTCGCCTGGGAGAGAAGAGCACCTCATGGGTGTCCTGGGGGCTGCAGGGCCTTGAGCTGCACCCGCAGTGTGGAAGTGCTGGCCACTGCCTCCCGGCTCCACCTCTACCACTCACCTCTTGCCAGAGATGAAATCGAGAGCCTGGTAGACCAGCGAGTAGAGGTACTCCACCTGGCAGCCAGAGGCCAGCAGTAAGGACAAGTTAAGGAGGCACCACCCACAACAACCCACGGCCCTCCCACTCCAAGGCCTGGCCATCATCTCCAAGCCTCCAGCATGAGTCCTGCCAATTTTGCCACCAAAAATAATTCTCAAGTCAAACTAGTCGTCTTACCAGCATCACCCCAACAGCCAAGGCTGCATGCTTCTCTCCTGTCTCTGTTTTCCATCAAGCAACAAGCATGGCCTCAATGAGTGGCACAACCACATCCCGAGGGGTGCCCCACACAGCCCTGGTTGGCAGGCCCCACAAATCAGGCCCCTCGCACAGGCACCTGCTACTCTTTTGCCCACAGGCTCCGCCAGCTCCTCCATCCTAGAAGCCTGTGGGCCCCTGACAGCCCATCAGAAATCAAGCCACAGTGGGCCACCTGACAGATCATTCCCCTAGCTTCTTGTCTGTCTCCTCCACAGAATGCTCTTACCACTAGGGTGAGGGCTGGAGTTTTTCGAAATGCTGATGATGAAGCACTTTCAGGTGAGAGGCAGGGGAAGCAGAGTGCATGCGTACCCTCGCCACCTCTATGCTGCTGCAAGTGTGCACAAGGGATGACAGAACCCACAGCGCACACAACCCTCTCTTTCTGGCAGTGACAGTTTGTTTATTTTTTGCTAGAGACTGAACCCAGGGCTTCATGCATGTTTAGCAAGCACTCTACCCTGAGCTACACCCTCAGGTCCAATGTACCATTTTAAACCCAAGATCATCCTTTGGTATTAAAATATGTGAATGAGTCAGGGGTAAGGCCTATGGTGCTATCAGGGCAGGTTACAGACAGGATGAGCACTGTTCCCTGCCCCAGCCAGAAAACTGACCACAGGACACTTGCCACCAAAGAACCCCGCAGGGCCCACCTTCTTACTGTAGACACAGGCTGAGCCCTGGATCAGCAGTGCAGCCTCGATGAAGTTCATTGTGGTTTTGCCTTCGTCAAAAGAAATACAGATCTGGTCCAGCTGCAAGAAACAACACCAGTGCCAAGGAAGCCAGGGCCCAGTCTGTGCCCATTCTGCCCAGGGAAGCCCTACCCACCACCGGCCACAGCCCAACAGCTCCAGCTCTGCTCTGATCCCGTCAGCTGTCTCTGGGTGTTCCCAGAGAGGAGAGACATGTCTTGTGATTCCCTATTTCCTGCATCCTCTAAGACCTGGTGTTTTGGGAGAGGGAGGCTCCCAGAGACCGCCCTGACCACAGCAGTTCCCTCAGACAACATGCCCACGAGCATCAGGGTCAACTCAGATGGACCTCAGCAGGAAGACTCCTTACCCTGAGGGAAGGAAAAGAACCTCAGGGTGAACGCAACAGAAACAAATGTTAGGGTCTCCATCCTCTGAGCAGAGACCTTGACAGATAGGTCCAGTGAGGCATTCTCTTTCTTTTGCAACTCCCCGAGTCCCCTGAGCCTCGGCTCCTGCATCCCTCTAAACACCACAGTCCAAGGGGCTCCATCCTCAGCCCTCTCCTCCCATGGTATACCTGCCAATGCACCTGTGTGTCCACCCCATGCTACCATACGGCTACTCATGCTGACACATGGCTACCATCCATGTCAACAGTTCCCCGCCCATCTCTAGACCAGCTTTCTCCAAGAACTTGGCCTCATTAGAGATTGGACCAGGGCCTCACACATGCCAGACTCTACCACTGAGCTGCACCTCAGTGCCCCCCACATTTCATCTCCACATTTAACTCAGGA